GCATCTGCAGTGCACTGAGCTCTGTGCTGGGGCTGCCCACCCCACTGCACATAGTGCCTGGTGTGTCCCAAGTCAGTGGGGGCAGACATTGCCCTCCACTGGGGTTTAACCCTTCCCTTTGGGAAACACCCTGGAAGTTGGCTTAGGGGTGCAGGCTGTGGCACAAGGGTCTCTTCCCAGCTTCTTGAAGCTGTGGGATGGTTTAGAGGCCTCAGAGGAAACTGAATTCATGAGAGTTTTGTGGGCTCTTATGGGAGATACCCTGGGGTGCTGCCTCTGCTTAACACCACTGAGGGAATCAACACTTTGTGAGGCTCCCCGCTTTATAAGAAATCATAAAATCTGCACCAGGGAGGACTCTCTCTCATAAAACTCTTGAGGATGTGTTCTGCGGTAACTTTCCTCTGCTGCTCTGTTTTCCACTATTGGTATTTCTCTCAGAGCCCCACCTCCTGCATTGACACACATTAATGAGCATCTGTTTTTCTGTGTTTCTGAAGAAGTTTGTAGGCCCTGCATTGCAGAGGAGCCATGAAATATGACTGTGCTGTGTCTCTTTCCAGGCTCCACCCTGCAGTCTGTCATCTGCTCCTCTTCTACTTTGTGTTCTTCTACCCCTTCCCCATCTTTGGCATCTTGATCATCACCATCCTCCTGGTGCGGTTCAAGAGCCGAAACTCCAGCAAGAACTCGGAGGGCAAGAATGGGGTCCCCTTGTTGTGGATCAAAGAGCCTCACCTCAACTATTCTCCCACTTGCCTAGAGCCACCGGTCCTCAGCATCCATCCGGGAACCATAGACTAAAGAGGCAGAGGCACCCGGGTGAACACACAGAGAGAGACAGAAGCAGAGACACACCAGGAACCCTAAGGAACAGAATGGGTTTTGTTGTTTTGTTTCGTTTGTTTCAGTGTCTGTGCTCCAACACGGCATCTGAGCTCTGCAGAGCGCCCAGCTGGTGGGGACGGGAACATCCAAGGCTTCCTCCAGCGCCTGTGGGAACGCACCCCTTCACCCCAACGGATGGAGGGTCCCTGCGCTTGCTGTACATAGCAGATGTTCCTCTCAGATTAATTTTGTTCCCATCAGTTGCCGTCTTTTGGGCCGTTACTTTTTTGTTGTCATTTCTTTTTCAGTCACTCAAAGAACTGTAGGCTTCCCCGACCCTCCACACAGCAAGGAATTCCCAGGAGGTGTTTGGTCCTGGGACAATCTCTTTGGAAGTAAATGTATATGCTTTCCAAAACAGACTCTGGTTTTCCTCCTCATACTTGGTGCCACAGTGAAGAAGGTCTTTTCCCAAGGTGCGCTGAGCTAGCTCCTCCCTCTTCCAAAGCAGACAAAGCCAGGTCCACCTCCAGAGGAGTTAGCTGGGCTATCAGGACATCCATCTCAAAGACTGGCCATAGCCTCAGCATCTTCTTGCCTCGATCTTCCTGTTCTCTCAAGAGGGGGCAATTCACCTTTTGGGATTATTCCCCCATCTCAGAGAGACTGAATATTCAGCATGCTTGCAGCCAAGACAAAAGCAATTTAGTTTGTCTCCAGGAACTGAAGCAGGGGGTGGAGGGAGGACACCCGAAAGCCCTGACTTTGTTGGTAGTAAAGAGGGTCCTTGTACGATCCAGCTGACCAGAGTTATGCTCGTCCCTGGCATCCATGCTGCCACCTCTGACGAGGCAGGTCCCCTCTGTGCCCCAGTTGCCTGGGGACAGGTGGCTGGATCTAGTCTCTGAAGACTTCAACATGACCAAAGTAATGACTCTAGAAGGGGGGAAAGGGGAAGCTCTACAAGTTGGGTTCATGGCCTCTGGATGATTCAGCCAAGGAGCCCAATTGCAGCCATGTCACACAGTGGTGACATGCAGTTAACCACCATGTGTCACAAGTTCCCCTGTGGCTTGCACTACTTCCCAGCTTGAGCTTGGACAAGGCAAGGAGCCTGCACCGCATCGGCGCTCTGAGGGCTTCCCTGTCCTCTTGGGCCAAGAGAAATCTTCCCCTACGTGCATGCATGTATCTGCCGGTTTTTGTTTCTGGGGCTTTAGGAGGAGAAGCAATTCCTCCGTAAGCTCCCCCTCCTGGCAAAGTCACCTGCTTTTGTCTAGACAGTCGCTGTGGCAGGAAATGCTGTTCTTTCTGTGAAAGATATGGCTCTCACAAACCAAACCAGGGCTCTTGCCGCCTGGGGCACCTGAGCTCCCGTACCCTGTAATGCCAAGTACTCCTGCCCTGTCCTGTGGAGGAAACCGCCTCCTCCCCACTACGCCCTAAGCATTATGTCTGGCGGAAGAAAATGTTTGCCAAAAATGGCCTTTTGTTGTCTTCCTTGATGTCTTCCTGGCAAATCTGGCCATTTATTTTTTGCAGCATAGCTGAAGCCAACTGGGGCGGATGGGTGCAGCTGCAAGACCCCCCCCCCCCCCCCCGCCTCACACAAGAGAGGTGCCATGCCCACAGCCACCGTCCTCTTCAGGAGGGCCAGACTGCTCTTTGTGAAGAGGAGGGGACCTCAGCAGATGCTCTGTAGCATTACTCGCTTAGACCCTCATGCCTTGATGTTTCAGAAGTGGCGAAGCCTCAGGTGGGAGATCTGCACCATGCATCCTCTCTCCCAGCTGGGGGAGGGCCCATGTGGCTGTGGACTGTCTCACGCCAGGGCATTCGAAGTCAGCCGCCTCTGCTCCTCCACCTGAACGGCATTGGTTTCTTCTTCTACTGGGAAGCCCAAATTTGACTCATCCCTCTGTGAAGTCTGCCTCCTTGAGACGTAATTCCTTACTGGCCCCAGCATATGCATATCATCACACTCCTATATATATATATATTTACATATATATGTATCACACACCCACACGTTTGTCTTCCCTTTCTGGATAAGGCATCTGCAAAGAGAGGAGTGGGATGAGAAGTGAATGGAAATGAAGAACAAAGGCACAAACAGTAGTGCAGCCAGTGGGTATTGTAACATAAATGTGGTGTCTCCTGTACATACTGCTCCCCAGCAGGAACTGCAACTCATGTCACCTTTAAAGGAAAAAAAGAGAAAATGAAGTGGGCAGGAGTCGTTCTTTCCTGGGAGAGCACTGTGCTGCATCCGAGCCATGCTCTTCCTCGCCAGTCTGTCTGCCCTGGAGCAGGGCTCTCCTGGAGGGCTGTCCCATGGCCCCCTCTCCCTGGCCAGAATGGGTCCCTTCCCAGCTTGGCGGTTCCTGCACCAAGCCGAGCCTTTCCCAGGAAGTGGCTCCCACAGTGGTCGCTGAATGTACCTTGCTGGTGACATTTCTCTCTTGCTCTGGCAGCGTGTTGCCCAGTTTCAGACTTCTGTTTTTATAAGGCAGACTCTTCCTGTAATTAGTTTTAACACAAAGCTTTTCAAACTACTCTCTCTGCCGTAACTTTCTGTAACGAACCTGAGAAGAAAGAGAGATACCTTATCCATGCATGATGTGGAAAAATGTTTGGGATTTTTTTAAAAAAAAAAACAACAAAACTTTGTACTATGTTGCACTAAAACATGTTTTATACAACACACCTGAGAGCTGTAGTAAACTGTGTTGAAATTGTGATTCTTATTGCTGGTGTTTTTTGTCAGATTTGGGCTTTCATTATGCTTTTATGCGCATTCCCTGCACAAGGTGTGCTGAACTCCTAAGCTTGCTCCCTCTTGCAGGCAGCCTTTCCCTCTCCTGCCTCCCCTATTCCCTGATGCACCAACTCTCCTCCTGCCCTGGTAGCGCATTTCCTCTCTCTTGCAGGCTGGAGCTTGCAGACAGTTTGCACTCTCTGGCTCTTCATACTTCTCCCTCCCATCCCTTAATTCATCCCATAACAGAAAATAACACTTAAGAGAGGCATGGCAGGTCTATTTATTGAATGAGATACACTGTTTCTGAAATTGGTCTGAAAACAGTAAGTACTTCACTGCGTCATAATCTGGATTTGGAGAAAAAACATATTTTTTTATAAAATTATCCATAGAAAATGTTAAACAAATAATCTTGTACAAGTAACCTTGATGTAAGCAGAAGAATGTTCACTACAGAAGTTGCTTAAGCTGATGTAAAATGCAATCTTTTAATTCTCATTACCCACTTTGACCTTGAATAAGGGTTTGGTCAGTAGTCTTGAACTCCCCCATTAACTGGAGTAGGGAAGTAGCATGATACATTCTTAGCTGTATAGCAGAAGTGCTGTGAAATTAACTGCCGACACAGCTGTGGGGTGGGGTTTGGGGTTTTTTTTTGCATTCGTTTAAAACAAACAAACAAAAAAAATCCTCTGCTAAATATGTAAGAAAACTCTTGTCCCCAGCCACAACTGGCTTTGCTCCCCCCACCCCTGGTAGGTTGTCTTGGGCAGTACCTGCTCTCATCTCTGTGCTAAGGAGCAGAGGTTTTAGCTTTATAGATGCTCAGTGGTGGATGGCAAGTGGTGTCCCCAGCACTCCCCAACAGCAGTACAGGGCAGCGAATGTGGGCTAGCCATCATGGGTTTGCCGGGAGGCATCTCTGCCAGCCCATGCACACTCCCTGCAGCCAGGCCTGTGTCCCTGACCCCCTCTGGCATGCTTGTATGGGCAGGACCCTGGTTTGGGGCAGCTTGCGTGGGTTTTGCTGCCTGTCCTGCTGCTGGAGCATCACTAGCAAAGCTGCATCAGGTGCTCCTGCTCCCCTTGAGGACCAGACGTAACAGCTGCCACGCTGACAAGAGGGAGTCTCGGGGCTCGGCTGCTTGAGGCACAGAGACACCATTGCCTGTTCCCATCAAAACCCCTTGTAACTGCCTTCCGCCACCTTCTGCCAGCAAACCCCAAGCTGTTCACTCTGAAATGACCTCCCTGCTGAAGCCAACACACACAAAAAGGAAAAAGCATGCCTGGCTCTGGCTTATGCTCACATGCATTAATCGAGCGGGTTTGCAAACCGAGTTTGCAAAACCTTGAGCAAGGGGTAGCAGGTGGGGTAAGCACACCCCTGGGGGGCCCTGCTGCCCCCCTTCTAGGTGATGCGGTACAAGTCCTGAGCGACCTGCTCCAGGCGTTCCTTGTACTCCAGGTGGGTGTAGAGGGAGGCACTGACCCCCTGGAAGCCATACATGGCCCCCCACCAGCAGGCTGCAATAGCGGCAGTGGAGTCGCTGTCACCTCCATGGAAGAAAGCCCGGTGAGCCAGCTCTGCCCAGGAGTCCCCTGCACCCAGCAGCGCATCGTAAGCGATCATGGGGGCGTCATGCCCACTGCTGCCGCCCCAGCCATCGTAGCTGAGAGATGTGTAGAACGAGTCTCTCTCTTCCACCCCGTACTTGGGAGGGAAGGCGGGTGGTGAGACCCCATCTGATATGCCTCTCTCCGCCAGGTATTTTTCCCATTGCTCTTCAAAGTAATGCCTGCAAAACAGGAGACAAGGTGGAGGGGCTGTAAGAGACGTCCTGCCGCAGAAGCAGATACCTGAGCTCCCCGCAGGCGCTCTGGGCGTCAGCTGAAAATGTGCCACGTCAAGAGCCTGGAGCAATGGCTCGGCAAAATGGTAGGCATCCCCCGTTTGTCAAACTAGGGACATGATTTACAGTAAGAGGCACAGGGACATGTTTCAGTGAGTTAGATTTCCCCTCCCTCCAGCCACATGGGAGAAGGCAGCCCAGCACCTGCTGCTGTCGTGCTGCACGGGATTCAAAGGCTCAGAGCAAGAACTGAGTCATCCTCCCAAATTCAGAGTACCTCTACCCCTGCCTGTGTGTGCCTCTGTGCAGAGAGCCATACTGAGTCTGCAGCCAGATTTGGTTATAACTTTCAAACTGAGCTCAGCCCTAGGCCTGGTGCTGTTCCCCAGCCCTGCTTCCCATCTTTCATCAGATCACAGTTGCTTGAGATAACAAGTCATACTGGATCCAAAAAATGTCACAACTACATGACCCAAACACAATCTGACTTTTTTTATATATAAGTTAGAGGTATTTTTCCCCTGGGAGACTTCAGAGACTTTCTGAATCGATTCAATCGCACGGCAGGCATGTGCTACTCTAGAAGTCTATCATAATGTGATTAGCTAAGCTTAAGTATAAACAGAGCTCGCCCTCTCGTACATGAGATTTATTTTAACAAAACCCAGTGCTGTGAGCACAACTCACCATTGCCCCATGTTCTCCTCCACGAAGAAGCCAGTGTCCTGCACGTAGGCTTTCGCCCGTGGCAGCACCTCCAGCAGCCCCTTCCCCCAGGCCGGAGGGGGCACGCCGTTCACCGCAAAAGCCGTGAAGAGGGCTGAAGCCAGGGACCCCAGGTAGCCGGTGGGATGGTGGTGGGTCATTCGGCCACTCTCGATGCTGACTTGCACCAGGGTGTCCAGCTCAGCAGGATGGTGGAAACGCAGCCCAATGCACATGGAGCGCATGGCGGCACCGCAGCCTCCTGCCTGCAGGCTGAATGGGATCCTCCAGCCATCCGGCCGCTCCGGCTTCAGCTTCAGCACACTTACCTTACACATGGCACCTCGACAGGAGCAGCAGAGCCCAAGAGAGAAAGAAGGGAAGGGAAAGGAAAGAAACAGAATTATGCCATCAGTAGGCAACAGGGTCACATAGCTCAGGAACTGAGGGAAGACGGGCAGGGTAGCAGAGAAGGAAGAATGAAAAACATCAGTCGCCTGCTCATATATGCTTCTTGCCTTCAGCATCCTGCCTATTCCCAAGCAGACCTGTTAATTTCTGTTTGTGAAAATAATTTAAAAGTCTAGGGGAGTAAAAAAAGTTCCACTGCTGATTTATGTAATTTACATTGTTTATATTTACATTTAATGTTATTTATTTAATAACTTATCTATAAATCAATATACGATCTATATTATGTATATTATGTACACATATATCTAGACAGACATACATAAATGTAAAGGAAGTTTGGAGGGCCATCGGATCACATTGATCCCTGATCGAAGGCATGCCTACATACCTATGCGTTTTTTCCTGAGAGTTGTTTAGCCTCTTTACAGACCCTTTAAAGACAGTGACCCCACATGCTCCCCAGGAATCTTTCCTATTGCCTTGCTGATACAAAACATCTTCCAGCTCTCCCTTGCTGCAGATTGTCAGAAAGCAATGAATGGAGTATCTCCCTCACCACAACTTGATCTGCATGACTGGCTTTACTGTACTCCTCTTCAATAAGCTGAAGAAAAACTGGACTAGGTCAGACCAAAGGTTTATCCAGCTCACTAGCTTGTCTCCAACACAGCCACTAACAGATAACCATGGAAAGACTATAAAAACTGAGGCAAGTACAATGCTTCCCTAAGAAGACCTGCCTGGCTTCTAGCAGACAGAGGAGCACAGCCTGCCTGAGTCAGAAGATGGATCCAAAATACTGTGTTCAGCAACCCTCAGTGAACCTAGCCACCATAAACTGGTCTCCTCAGCTTGAACCAATGCATGCTTTCAGACTCCTTTAACTCCTTTAACATCCCATGGTAACCAGAGCCACTATTTTGTGGCATTTCCTTTCATTTTAAACTGCCATTTGACAATTTCCTTAAACTACCCTCTAATTCTTACAAGAAATAACAACTTTTCATGCTCCACACTATTCAAGACTGTATATACTTTGTCCCTTGTCCTCAGTTTCTCCTGCTCCAAGCTGACCCTAGTCCAATTTTGTCTCTCTTCTTATGGGAAGCCACACCACAACTCATCCTTTCCCACCTTCATCTCTTTCACAGTTCTGATATTTACTTTTTAAATAAATTACTCTGCTTCTTCCAGTGCTGCTTCTTCAGAAACTCCCTTGTTAGTCCAGTGCATTCATAGGATAAAGCCATCTGCACAAACACATCTGGATTTCAGAGCCCAGCCAGCTTCCCCAGCCAAGACAATGAATCCAGCTTTGAGAGTGAAGCCCAAATGCTTGTGTGCAAGGAAGAGGAAACAGGTTTGAAATGTGAAATTATCTTTGATTATCTTCTACCTTGCCTTTTTCTCTTAGTCTTCTCTCTGGCTAAATCTGAAATACTTTTTTTTCCAGCAGAAAGGTAAATCACGAGCAGGTTTCAAGAAGCTTAATTTAAGTTTTAATGTGTTGGACAATGGCAAAAGTAGATTCAAAAGGCTAGTCTTCTCCTAACCACAGTGCGCCCAGTTCTGTCTGAGACACACACGGTAAGAGCTGCACTTGACATGCTCACACACCCAGAATTAAACCCTTTCTCCTGTACTTTGCTGCCTTACTGGGACAGGTAGCTGATAAACTTGCAGGTGCTCTGTTACTTTGAAAGTCAAACTAAGTAGAACAGAGTAGCAATGAAGAAGCCTTTTCAAGAATCTTCACATAACTCTACAATTACCTTTGGTGCAATTTAATCACCAAGATGTGGGACCTTGCTAATCACAGCTAGGTACTCCACTAAGTACTCTGCAAAGCTGGTCATGTATACACTTGGCAGTAGCATTTGGTATATGCCAGTCTATTTTACCTGCACACAGCACTCAGAGCAGCCTTGTCACCAAAATACCTCCACATCCAAGCACAGCTTTAAGATGGGCTTCTGGACATGTGCTAAAAATAAATAACGGCTGGCTGCTGTCAGGAATAAGGTCACATGGATCCTTTTATAGTTCTGGTCTGAGTGTCTTTAGCGGTTTTCTTTTCTGACACTGTTACTTATGGGCTTATCAGATCAGCACAGGATACAACCCTCTGTGCAGTGTGATCGGGTGGACCAGCTCCCCGTGAATGGTTGTCTCAAACTGAAAAAGCAGCTTGGTCCTGCGGCTGTCGGGCTATTCAGCCCACAAGCCTGTCAACTGAAATCAACTTTGAGAATGGAAACAGCCTATGCAAGTCTCCCCCATAGGACAAAATGGGTTGCCGATCAGTGCAGCCCACACCCTTCCCAGTAGATGAGACCTGCTGGTTTTGTGGTGCCACATGGCCAGCCAACCCCTGGATCAGTCCAGATGTTTCTTACGCATCCTTCTTCCAGGCAATTTACAGACTGAAAATTGTGGGGCCATGTTTCTCTGCTGCAAGAAGCAGTAGGTGGAGCGTTTGGTGTGGGTAGCACTGGGCTCTGCCAGGACTGATTGCCACCAACTTTTAACTGAACTGCCTGGGAGTTTGGGTTTGTGGTGTCTCAAAGTGGGAATGTGTTCAGGCCTCTACATCTGCTTTTCATGTAGTTTATTAATTCAGTGCTGGCTGCTATGTATCAAAATTGTTAAGAGGGATATCACTATAATTTCCAGCTTTTATGATGATTAACAGAAAATTGAGGCATTTTTTCAAAAAATCTAACTATTCTAAGAATTGCACTTATGACCTATAACAGGACATTAAAAGGAACTTGTCAAACAAAGCCACATTTTTAAAAAGCTGGTAAAACACACCTTCTGCCAGGATGACAAGGAGAAGGTGAGACAGCAAAGGGACTAGGGTAGCTTAAAATCTGTATAACAAAAAATCAAAATCTGTATAACAAAAGCAAAATAAACTCTGTAATCTTGCTGGAACTGTGAGAAAGACATTTCTTCAGGACATGTTTGGGCAGGTTGAGAGCAGGAAACCCAGTTCTTGGTAAAACTGGAGATGACTACTGATAACCTGCAAATGAAAAATAATTGTGTAAAACAAACCAGTATACAACAGCTAAGACTTTTGTGATTTATGAGGTATCACGAGTACTATTCCTCATGCTTTTAAACAGTTAAAATATTAAAACATTTGAAAGTTGATTTAGGAAGACTAAGCTGAAATCATGTTGTTTGGCCTTTTTTACAAAACAGGCTTAGAAAAAAAAAAAAAAAGCTCTAGGAGTTTTTGAATCAGGAAATTGTTTTGGAAATCCACCAAATCCTGGCTAGGAATCCTTTGTACTAACAATAAGAAACTACAATTAACTTGAGGAAGGTACTGGTCTAAGCAAAGAAGAAATACAAGCAAAAAGCAGTGTGTGAAGAAAGCCAGCCTGAAAAAGTTTCAAGTACAACTGGACACTATTTCTGGAATAAGCTTCTATTCAGACTCTTACAAGCACAGACAATAACAGTTGTTTGGGATCTGTCAATACACATTAAAAAGGTGAGTTAAAACAACCACACAGTTGTAAATAATTCCACAGGGAGAGGACTTGGACTGAAAGACACCAAGTGACAGGCAACAGTTTTGAAGCAGAAAGCTTCCTGGAGAGCTGTGGAGGCAGGTGTAGTTGTACCATGAAAAAACAAATATGTCAATGCTTATGTCGCTTAATTTGTTGGCTTCATTATCTGCGAAGAACAATGAATTTGGGGCTGTGGCACATCACAAAGAGCAATAATGGATGTAGGGACTAACCTTCCACTGAATTAAGACAGTGAGTTCTCTCCTGGGGCTGCATACTTGAGGGACCCTGGCGTGGCCATTGTATGACTCATAACGTTGTGGGAATCCCTTTGTTACTGCAGGTTTTGATTTTCAGGTCTGGACTCCCTTGTGTGGGCGAGCAATATGACTTTCCCCCACTGTTCTGGGGGAATCTCTTCTCTATTGAGTGAAAGTTGCAGTAGCAACTTTCCATTCTCAGCCTTAAGGGCTGCAATTTCCCGGTGAGTAATTACTTTGGCCACAAGAGCATCACCTTGGGTTATGTTCTCAGTTAAAATCCATTTAATCTGAATTGCCAAAATAAGTTACTAACATGCAGCTTCTACCATTAGGATTTATCAATACACATGGCGACTCCAGACTGCAGACAGCTGTTCAGGATATGGACTGGGTGTTCCCTTTGGTAGTATGTCCGTGGGCATTAAACTGTTAAGTGTCAGCATTTAAGCTCTCAGAGCCAAGAGCCTTTCCTGGGGTTGCAGTAGGAGCAGTCCGAAACACTGTTGCAAGAGCATTCCCAACAGTCTTCCATATTTTTGCACCTTACTTTCCCCACCTCTCCCAAAATTTTATGAGGTTAAGTGTCAATGGACCCACTAAAGAAGCTTCATTTCTTTGTTTAGCTTCCTGGTCACTCTGATTTATGTCCATAGTAGATTTACTTTAAAATCCTTCACTTCCAAATGAGAACTGCTTTTGGGTATATTGCAGCTCAGTTACTCACAGAAGGACTGCAGCAGCCGTGCTATTATCCTCAGCTATTAATTACTAACATTTAAATTTTAGGTTCTTCTCCTTTTCATCTCAGGCTTTAGTCACCAAGATTAGATAGCGGAGGCAAAAATAGCTTCCAGGTGCTGCCTCACTGCCAGCTGTGGTTAGTCCACCTTGGCAGACCCCATCAGCTGGGGGAACTACAAGATGCTCCTTTGCCAAAACAGCAGTGAGTCTCTCAGAAGTTTAACCTGCTGACTCCTGCTATCCTGGCAAGCAGTCACCCCTTCCTAAATGTTTCATTAAATGGGCTACTCCAACAAGTGAGACTATCTGTGTTATATAATACTGATAGTTTAGTTCTTTACATGAGGGTAGGAGGTCACTGTGGAAAGGTAAGCACAATAAATTCCTGCTTGAGTTCCAAGCTGGTTTACCTTAGAAATGCACAGCTCTGTCACACTATGCTCAGTGACACAAAGAGAGCAATGCAGCATTTGGCCTTTCCTGTGTTTAATGTCAAATCAGAACATTCTTGATATATTCTGGCCACTCCAAATAGGCATGTCTAGGCAATTTCTTTTTGATGTATTAACTTTGCACAGGATTGATGAATTTGAGTGTTTCCTGGATACTTCATGCTGCCTGCACTAGTCAAATTAGAGGCCTGCCCTCAGTAGGTCCAATTTAAGTTTAATTCAAGCATCCAGAAGAGGCTGAGCCATGAGGACAGAGGCAGACAGGGTCCTTGGGGAAAAGTTGGGTCAGTTGGCCTGGGTGAACTAGGAACTACAGGAATATATTGCGTATGGCTTGGATACTGCAGCCTGTCAAAGTGCCCTTCCTGAATACTGCCACACACTGCCAGCCCCCGCTGCCTGTGACCCAAACTCATCACCGTTGTGCCTATGCAGAGAACAGAGAGATGAGGGGAGTACAGAGTTCAGAAAAGGCGCTTGTGCCCTCACTGTCCTGGCACAGAAAGCAGACATGCAGAGCTAGCCAAAAGCAGACTTTGGATTTAATAAACTTAATTATTCCAAGCAAGGATCTTTGTGCCTTTACATATATTTGATGTGCAATTTATTGCATTTATTACAATAAGATCTGTATTAATTCTCTGTTTAAAGGTGTTGCTTAAACACAGATCTCAGGGTGCACATTAAACATGGCTGAATTTGCATTTTTCATCCACTGAGTGTAAGAAAAGACACATCTCCAGCACAAAAGCCGCTATCCTTCCCCTGAGTTCAAGGCCAGGCCCCAAACACGCCTGTAAGAATCTTTTGTAAACATGGGCAAAACAGCATCTTTTTATCTAGTTCAAAGAAGCCCAAACCACTTTGGCTTGCCTTATTCTGTTCTCTTTAGTTCATCCTGGGACAGGTACTGAGTGTGGAAAACTTTCCCTTTACATTAAATATGACTCATGCTACAAACATCCAAAAGCAAAGCCAGGGGCAGCCTCAGCTCCAAGCTGCAGGAAAGGGAGAGATGTCAGCGAGAGGATAGCCCCTCCCAGACAGCATTATGGAGGAGTTACCTGGAGCTCTGCCCTGCATGTCATTCATGCATTCCTTGTACTTCTTTGCAAACAGGGAATAGAGATGCGCTAAACTTGGGTTTTTCCCAGCAGCTACCAGGGCTTCAGCTGTTGCCAAGTGCATCACTGTATCATCGCTGACTTTCCAACCTTGGATGCTGAGGTTGCCGAGTCCCCCCATCTCTGCCAGCTCCTTGTGGATGGCTGGGCCACTCTGCAGGAACTCCCATCTCCCGTTGCAATAACCTAGTGTGTCACCAACTGCGCTCAGCACCATCGATGCCACATAGTTTTCCATCGTCTTAGGACACAATTTTTGCCCCAGGACTGCTTCAATGCAGAAAACGCTATGAAAAAAAAAAAGGGAGGCACACTGAAAATAAAATTTTTTCCCAGTTCAGTATGAGCCTCTACTGCTAAGCTCCAGCAGGCTGGATACCCGGTCTAGCATCTGTGTCTCCCTCTGAGGGTACATCCCTTCAAAGCACACATCTTCCCGCAGATCTCTGGCCGCAGGCACCCACCAGTGGGTAAGTGTATGGCAGCTCTCGTGCAGCCCAGACCCGGGCCAGG